AATCTCATATCCTAAGGATTGTAGCATCTGGAGTAGTAATATCATAATTATTTTTTCCCTCTCTCTGTCTCTATCCTTTCTTCAAGCGTCTTCATGTTCTACCTCAAGGCCCTGGCCGACTCATACAGTTCCAGGATCAAAGGACTCAAAGGACAGCTCCGTCTGGTGAGTAGTCAATTAAAAGCATTCCAAAAGTGGGTATGAGGTGGTGAAAAATTGACTCCGGGATTGGATAGCTCAGGATGCGAAATGGGCATGCAGAAAAAATGGGGAGAGGGCAATGATATATTAATTGTGGCTCTGCAGATGCAAGTTGATTCTTTTGTATTATAATAATAGTTGGAAAGGACTTCGAAGATTATCCAGCAGAAAATTGTGTTTAAAGTTTCTAACATTAGCAGTCATTATGGCACAGCTTAAAAACTTCTAACATTAACTCTGTGCAGGAGAAGATAGTGCAGGTTTAATTTCTCTTTTGTGGGATTGTGGAAGCTAGGGAAATTACTATTCTTCTTAAAGACATGCTTCCGGAATCAAAATCGCATGAAATATTAGTACTTTATAAAGCCTTAATAAGGCCAAACCTGGAATACGGCATCCAGTTTTGGTCACCACACTACAAAAAAGACTTTGGAAAAAGGTGCAGAGAAGATCAACTAAGATGATTAAAGGCCCGGAGACTAAAACATTTGAAGAATGGTTGCAGGATTTGGGTTTGGCTACTCTAGAGAAAAGAAGGACTTTTAGGGATGACATGATAGCAGTATTGCAGTATTTGAGGGGCTGCCACAAAGAAGAGGGGGTCAACTTATTTTCCAAAGCATCGGAGGACAGGACAAGAAAAAATGGATGTAAACTAATCTGGGAGAGAAGCAACCTAGAACTAAGAGGAAATAACCTAACAGTGAGAACAATCAACCAGTGGAACAGTTTACCTTCAGAAATTGTGGGTGTTTCATTACTGGAGGTTTTTAAGAAGAGATTGGACAGCCATTTGTCTGAAATGGTATAGGGTCTTCTGCTTGAGCAGGAGGCTGGAGTAAAAGACCTCCAAGGTGGCTTCCAATTCTATTCTATTCAAAGCTTCTTGTACTTTTAAAATATATTTTTTTTTAAAAAGTGAAATGGTGGGATGGAGGAAAGAATGCTAAATTCATACATGATACTACACTGGGATTTCTAAAAATTGTTTGCTGAATTAGTTAAAATTATTTGGTTTGTGCAGCAGGCTAATCTACAAAGCTTTGGTTTATTCATTTCCCCACCGGCTTTTGAGTCAGTGTTGACTCTTGGATAAGTCCCTGCAGTTTTCTTGGCAAGATCCCAGAAGTGGTTTACCATTGTTTCCTTCCTAGGGTTGAGAGAGAATGGCTAGGTCAAGGTCACCCAGCTGACTTTGTGCCTAAAGTGGGACTAGAATTCACAGCCTTTAGTTTCTAGTAGTCTAACAGTTTTCAGCCTAATGCTTTACCCACTACACCAGCTCCATAGAGTTGAGCAGCTCATAGTAGGAAGCTGGTAGAGCAGTAACAAACCCAAATGCTCACCTTCAGCCTTATTCAAGTTCCCAAATTCAATTATCTACATCTGTTCAAAGAGTTTTATGGATGACAATTGCAACCTTGTCCCTCTCCCCAAGGGCATGGCTGATGCCCAACTCAAACCCAGGAGGATATATCTCAGAAAGGGGAAGCCCCCCACCTCCCCCCACACCTCAGGCTCACATAATCTCTGTGATTATGTATGCCAGCTCAGCTGCCTCTTCCACTATCAAATTGTGAGAGAGACTTCATTTGGTTTCAATGTTCTCTTTTTCTCAGGAGGGCCAGGACAAGTTCTTCCTCGTGAAACGGATTTCAGAATTGAGCCAGTGAAAGAAAAGAAAAATATATACGAGAATACACCTTTTTCATTTTATTCAGCAATACTTCCAAGATATCACCACATGCTCAATGGGCAGCATACAGTATAACTTTAATCAATCAATCAATTTTATCTTATGGTTTTCAAATTGCACTGCAACAATGTGCTATGGTGGCTCAATTATCATTTTTAATAAAACAGAAGGGAAAAACGATTAAATAAGATGAAATTATATTATATGTATATATACACACACACACACACACAGCTGAGTAATTTAAAAGAAGACCACTAGGGGCAGGCATTCTCAAACAAATACTGGAGCCCCTTAAAATGATCTTTCGTGTGACTCAGGTAGAATTAATGACTTCATCAGGAATTAGGCTGAGCAAGAAAAACTGTCACTGATTAAAAGATGCCATATACAGTATACTCACATATAATCCGATTCATGGATAAACCGACCCTCAAATTTTTAAACAAATACTATGTAAAGTGCGCCACCTGTAGATAAACTAATCCTTAAAATTTTTGTTTGTTTTAATGTTCACAATTAGTTTATTCATGGATGGGCTTATACATGAGTCTTTTAAAAATGTATTACCATATAAATCGAAATCTGATGGTAAAACAACTGAGTACTGAATAAATTATTCTTTAAATTTTTGCCAATCCGTAAAACTGGAAAGCTCCTGCTACTTCCAGACATAAATTGTGATTGCATACATGGGTATGAAAAATAATCCAAGAAATGGATTTTCTACATTGAATTAAGATTTTCCTGTTGTTCCAATTTAACCTTTATCATAGTTTCACTATTTGGCTTTGGACAGATGATATTTTTAACTTTCGTATCCCCCAACAATAATGGACGGACAATTATAGACTTGTTTGCAATACTGTATAGATTAAAGATTACTAATACACTAAATCAAGCCAGAATTAATCTAATGCAATACTCAATTTACAACTACAACCGAGACCAGAATTTCTGTTGTGAAGTAAGGCAGTTGTTAAGTGAATCACACCCAATTTTATAATTTTTTTGCCATGGTTGTTAAGCAAATCACTTGCAGTTGTTAAGTTAAAATTATATGGTTGCTAAGCAACCCCAGACTTTGCTTGCTGGAAGCTGGTTGGGAAGGTTGAAAATGTTGAAGGTGATCACATGACCTTGGGATGCTGCAGTTGTCATAGCTACATCTGAATTGACAACTGCACCATTTTTGATCATGTGACTGTGGGAATGCTGTGATGATTGTAAGACTGAGTACTGGTTCTATGCCAATTTTTCCAATATTGTTGTAACTTTGAATGGTCACTAACGAATGGTTGTAAGTCGAGCATCATCTGTGAGGAATCAGTGTTGGTTAGATGTGGAGGAAAGAATGCTTGGCTAAATAAACCATCGATCTGAGCTAGCTGCATTTCTTTCTTATTCTTAAACATAAACTTTAAATATTTAAAGTTGACCCAAGTACTGTAGAACATAATTTAAATAATATTTCAGTGTAAATCTTTAAAGTCATGTTATTCTAAAGCATGAGGCTGATTGGCTGAAATAAACCAATTTCTACTACAGTATCGCAAAACACTATGCATCCAGCAATAGATTTCAAGCTACAGTATTCCCTTTTGATATAGCGGCCATAAATCCCTAAATTTTGAGCTACAAAATTGCAGACGACTATTAGGCAACAGCAAACAGATACAAAAAGCCAAATCTTTGCTCAATCTTGCAGCTTTCAGGATTGTATTTACTTTGTGTATAACAGCGATCAACACAACCTTCTGCTTGTTAACACTGGAAAAAATGGTAAAAACAGAACATAAAACCCATAAATTCAACAGAACAATACCCTTGATGATACAAGTGCATCATTCTCCATATGGTCTCTGGAAGAGGGGTTTTCCTCAATTTCTGGGAAGGTACTAACCTAATCTCAAGAGGGATGCTATTCTATAAAATAAGGGGTAGAACATAAAAGTAACATTTATAAGCTCCCAATATTTTTTTGCTCAGGAGTATGCACTAGATGGGTCAATTCCATGAGGAGAAAGCGGTAGTGAAATTCAACTGCCTCTGGAAATGTATTGGTGGCCAATTCAGGACCTGGAGCACAGATGTTCCATGGTTTACGAGTTTTTGAAATATTTTTTTTTATTTCACCTTTATTTCTTTATAAGTAACTCAAGGCAGTGAACATACCTAATACTCCTTCCTGTTCCTATTTTCCGCACAACAACCTTCTGAGGTGATTTGGGCTGAGACAGTGACTGGCTCAAAGAAACCCAGATGGTTTTTCATGCCAAACACAGAACTAGAACTCACCGTCTCCTGAATTTTACACCAGCGCCTTAAGCGCTACACCAAACTGGCTTTTGTCATTAAGGCAATGTTTCCCAACCATAGTAATTTTAAGATAAGTGGACGCCAACTCCCAGATTCAATTCTGGCAATTGAAGTCCATTCATCTTAAAATGGATACGGTATTCCGGGAGCTGAAGTTCACACATCTTAAAATGGCTAAGTTTGGGAAACACTGCATTTAAAAAGATTCCTGCATGCTGGGTGATTTTCTAGGGCAGTCCCTGCAGAGTGCATTGCAGTAATCCAACTGTGCAGTGAGAAGCATTCCTGATGTCAAGTCTTCCCCTTCCACGTAGCGCTGCAAGTGACATTAATCTAGCATGCAAGGAGGAATGTTAAAGTGTGTTTTAAAAAGCGAACGCCACTCTTGGTGTCACAACCACAGGAAAGATTTTTCAGCATTCAACAAACATCATTCCCTAGTCCAGGGGTGGGCAATTGTGGCTCTTTTACAACCTGTGGACTTCAACTCCCAGAATTCCTGAGACAGCCAAGCTTTTACAGGTTGTAAAAGAGCCACAATTGCCCACCCCTGCCCTAGTCGAAGTGCGGTCAATCCAAACCAATGATTTTCCAAACCTGGCCACTTTTAACATGTGTGGACTTCATCTCCCAGAATTCTCCAGTCAGCATGTGGCCAAGTTTGAAAAGCATTAGTCCAAACCAATCAAATAGCAGGTGGGAATAAAGGCGAGCCAATAAGAACTTCGGATGAACCAGGCCTTCCTGCGTTCGCGCAGGCAAACATGAGTGAAGCACGTACAGTACGGAGGCAACGGCCACGCCCCTAAATAGAGCAAAGGGGCGGAGCTCGACGGTACCCGGCGAGCAACGATTCAGGAAACGGAGGACATTTGTGGAGATTTTAGCACTGTCATAAGCAGCGGGAATGAATATTCTTCCTAAGAAGTCGTGGCACGTCCGCAACAAAGACAATGTGGCTCGCGTAAGACGGGACGAAGCGGAGGCTGAACTTCAGCGGCAAAAGCGGGAGGCCAGAGTCCTCTTAGCTGAACAGGAGGTAAGTAGTCATGAAGGGGCATGCGCAAAGGGCGGGGGTGGCGTACTATTATGGCTTGGAATTATTGCGCATGCGCTGTATTCCAAGTCGTGGCAATAGTTAAAAACATTCTACTGCGCATGCGGATTCTGTCCATCTGTTTTTGTTTTTTCTCTCTGAAGGAAATGTGTCAGTTCAGGGAAAGGAAATGAATATCAAATTTATTTCTTTTTATAGCAACTTTGGGGTTATGGTAATTCTTTAGTACATGCATCTAATCAAATCCATAAAAGTTAAGTGCTTCCAAATAGGCAATCTTAACTCCCTAAGGTGGAAGTGAGGTCAAAATTATTTCCAGGGACCTAACTCCTTATTTGGCTGCTGTTCAGAAAGAGCTACAGCGCTAAAGTTTTATATGGAATCTAAACATTCTATCTGGATTCTATCTCTTCATGCATTCTGCATGCAGAATAATTCTGCATTCATCTTCCTGCATGGATTAATAAACAAATAAAGCCAAACCTGAATTTTATCCAGATTTTTAGAAAAAAATCTGAGTAAGGTGGCAGTTTGGCTTTGACAACAATTCTATCGTTATCAAAATCATTATCAAAATCAAATTGCCTGCCACCTTGTTCAATTTTCTGTATTCTGTAACAATGGAAGCATCCTCAGTTTTTTAAAAAATGCATTTAAACAAATCAAAAAGATGACTTGAGCCTCAAACTTATGTGCTCCCAAGAATGAGATTTTTTTACATTTCTGGGAGGAAGATATTCTAATGACATCGGCCATCCACTGAAAAAGCCGATATAGTTTTATTTATCTAAAGATTTGATTTACATACCTGCCCATCTCAACAATGACTCTGAATGGGGATCAGTGATAAATAATACAATAAAACAATAAAACAGTGCACACACACACAAACCAAAATGCACAGTAGCTGAGAAAACCAACAGTCTTCCAGCAGATGGAGGAGACCGATTGCTTGGCACACTCTGGAGCCTCAGCCTCAAATACAGTGCCAGATCTTTGGAGCTTTATGAAAGACAGCAGTTGTATCCTAGGTTTTAATTGGCAGCTAATTTTGAATGTGAAACAGCATTCAGTATCTGGGATTCTTCTGTACATCTGGCCTGAATGGATGAAATTTGAGAAAAACCTGATTTAAGAATAGCTAGTCTGAAAGGTTTTAAACTTGAGGAACTAAATTCTTTGCCAAAATGGATTCTACTTAATCTGGGATTTGATTGAAATCAGGATTTCTTCTGATGTTATTAAATCAATGGAAGAAAGAAGAAAACTGACAAGGTGTTTTCTGGACTTCTCCCACACTTATATCCTAACATTCTTTTAATATTATTTTCTTTGCTTTTTCTGACACAATCTGTATATCCTGAATTGAATAAGTTATCCATACTATGACAGGCAGTCAATTATCTTGTAGGAAATTGAATAAATTGATGTGAGAGATTAAAAAGTTGGAAAGGTGATTGTTGATACATAAGAGAATGATACGAGATAATAAGGGAAAATCAAGAATCTGCCATTATTTGTGTTCTTGATTGTATTACTGTACTCCTATCATCAGAGGAGATCTAGTAGAGTGTAATTTAAAAGTTAGCTGATTTATCCACGTTCTATTTAAACACAACAATTAAATGTAGACTCTGGCTTGAATGTGTTAGATTTGTTTTTATTATCACCTTACTTGTTCTTGACTTGAAACACACAGAGGCTTCCATACTATGTAGGATGTTGTCTTGGACAAATTGAGGCATTGACCTAAGTGTGAGCCTTGGATAAATATCTGCCTTTGATTTTAGGCCAGGACTGAATTCTTACGGAAGAAAGCACGTCTGTCAGCTGCAGAAGGTGATAAGAGTGGCTCAGACCTTGTTTCTTTGGATTCAGAAATGCCCCCAGGACATCTTAACCTCTTTCAGGGGTTGCAAGAGAGTGGCAACAAAGAATATGAGGAAGAGAAGAAGCAGGAAAAGGTAATGGTGAAAAAGTAGGAATACCGTTTGCCAAAATTCTGTTTTCTCTAGTTTACCTAAGTGGGCACTGAAAGCCTTGAGATACGCAGGCTCCTGTTTATGGGTTCTGAGAACAAAATATGGACAGTAGTAGTAATATTTAGATTCAGACCTTTTAAATATAATAAATAAATCTGCTTGTTGGTAAATAGAATCCTGATTTAGCAGGGTTTTCTTTTTTACGCTAAATGCATTTTTCCTTCCCGATCAACTAAACAACTTCAGGCTAATATTTCGATGAAAACTCTCAGTCATCCAGACAAAAGTGTCTGAAGGTTGAATCATGGCAACTGGATTCAACTTTAAGATCCCTTTGCCTGGATGACTTGAGAGTTTTCATTGCAACACATTTTGGAGGGGAAACTCCTGAGGTTGTGGCAACGACTTTCTGCCTAGCTAGCTTGCTCTGACTGATGCTGCTGCTTGGAGGAGCAGCGAAACATCTCAAACTAACCAAAAAAAAAAAAAAAATAGTCCTGTTGCCATGATACAACCTTTAGACAACTTTTCGCATCCTAAATAATCACGTTCTTGTACTTTAAACCACAGTAGCACAATGCCTATTGGTTACTGTTAATTAAAACCTGTCAGGAGAAGGCTGATTATTAAGTGATATTCTGCATTGGGTCCCAGGGAGTTCACTGAATCCACAGTAAGCAGTTTGCTTTAGAGAAGAAGAAGAATAGGGAAATACTCCTTTGGATAGAATTATATACCTGGAGCACTAGAATATGTGTGTGGGGAATGGATGGATGGATGGATAGCTTGAGTAATTTTCTTGGCTTTTTATCCCTTACAGGAGCGAAAAGAAAAAGCTCTAGGAATCCTGACTTACTTGGGCCAAAGTGCAGCGGAGGCTCAGACATCCATTCCCTGGTATCAGGAGCTGCCAGATCGTAGCAAAACCAATGCCAAGGATGAGAAACTTAAGGGAAGGCTGGACCCCCTGTCTGAGATGGGAAAACATTTATACAAGAAGAAGCGCTCTCATAAAAAGGAAGAAAAGAAAGAAAAAGGAAAACCGAAGCCCAACGAAAGCAAAGGAAACCTAGCACTTAGGTGGGTATCCTTTTTTTGTGCACTCAAGGAAATTGTCAGTATCGAGCAGCAAATGGCTGTTCAGTGACTGTGATGGAGTTTCTGTTTTTCCAGAGCATCCAGGCAGCTTTGACAAGGCAGGGAGAAACTGAGTTGACGCTAAACTGAAGCCTGTAGTTGATGTAAATAGAATATCAACTTGCAATTTAATGCTGCAAGAAACAAACTAAGGTTAATATTTAGGGAATTATGGAGGGGTGGGGTTTTTTTGCTGATGTTGTTTGAAGAGATATCACCCTGGAAAGCAGAATGTAGGGTGGTAGGCCTACTGGTATTTGAGGATTAGATAAGATTTTGTATATTGCTGCCAAACTACCTTTGTGAGACTAGTGTTTTATTGGGATGCAAACTGGGTTGCATCTTTTGCTTGTCTGGAATAAAACCAGTTTATATGTACCTGTTATAGGATCACAGGGCATGTGCTTGAAGGTACATGACAGTGTCAGCCATATTGGAGTTAATCTGATTAAAAGAATAGCCCTTCTAATTCTGCAGAAATTCATATTCTATGCACGACAATATTATCTTCTAGTTTTAACCTGAGGAATATAAAACCAGATCTGTATTATTGAGCTATACAGGTAGTCCTTGATTTAAGATCACAATGGAGCCCAAAATTTCCATTGCTGAGCAAGACAGTTGTGCTGTATTTTATGACCTTTTGGCCACCGTTGCTAAGTGAATCTCTGCAGTTTTTAAGTGAATCTGGCTTCCCCCCTTGACTTTGTCAGAAGCTAGCTGGAAAGGTTACAAATGGTGATTGCACGGCTTTGGGACAGCGCAACTATCACAAATGCATGCCCCTTGTCAAGCACCCGAATTTTAAACAAGTGACCATTGGGAATGCTGCAACGGTGGTAAGTGTAAATACTGGTCATGTCACTTTTTTAATTGGTACTGTTAATGTCAAATCGTCATTAGACAAGTGGTTGTATGTAGAGGACTAACACTTATATACCATAGTGCTTTACAGCACTCTCTGAGCAGTTTACAAATATTAGCATATTGCCCTCAACAATCTGGATCTTCATTTTACTGACCTTAGAAGAATGAAAGGCTGAGTCAAACTTGAACGTTGCCAGGATCAAACTCCTGACTGGGAGCAGAATTGGCCTGCAATACTGTATTCTAACTGCTGCACTTAACCATGGCTCCTACAACCTGTAATTCCTTCCCTAAAATTCAGTGCATACTTGGAGAGCCCAAAACACCTGATCATTGAGACAGAATTTAGGCAAACCGTATCTTTGCCTCCCGTCAAAGATTGATGAAATTTCCTGGGTCCCTTAACTTTCCTTCCTATTGCTTTCCCTTTTCCTTTACAGGCCTCCATCTTCTTCCCCATCTTGCTCTCTGGAACAGCTCCGCCAGGAAAGGTTGCAGAGGGAACGGGCAGAACGAGCTCGAACCAAATCTCTTCTTGCCCAGAAATCTGGAATGAGTCCACGCCAGGAGGAAGAAGAGGAAATGGATGAAAGGAAACGTGGCTACAACTCGCAGTTCAACCCCCAGCTGGCAAGACAGAGAGCAGTGAAAGACAGTCGAATTGAGTGGGTATAAAGCAGGAAATCTGGTTAGTCAAACCCAAGTTCTTCAGCTGAAAATATTCAGTGCAAAATGCTTCATAGAATTCCTGGCCATAAACCTGCAGAATCAGGCCAAAAAATGGCTTGTCATATGGCTTCTAGGATGATTTTTACTCAATTATAATTATCATTCACTGGGAAAATCAGCCAAGCAATTAATGAATCTATTTTTGCTGTTTGCTCTGAACTGCCAGAAAGAAAAAAAACCCCCACAAAGCTAGATTGATAAAAGGATACAATTTCCTGATCCAGTAACTTATCTGCTTTATTCTTTATAGCCTTCCTGAAAATAGTGTTTTATGGGGCACCATGTCGATGATTCTGAATTTAATTGTAAATGCAGCAGCAGCAAACCCATCTCATGCAGTATGGAGAACGGAGGCAATGCCATGTACATCTGTCTCAAAATATTAATTTGCTGCATTAAGAGATGGACCAAGGTATTAGTCAAAAAGCACCAAACCTGGGATACACTGAGACTTCTTCAAGAATGGTGGAATATCCCAGAGGTCATTCTTCCATTGTTTTGTATGTGGTCCAGATAGTTGAGAAAATTGCCAGTTTTCCTGCTGTTGTAATTCAGTGCTCATCTTTGTATGCGACCTTCTGCCATTAGAGAAATGAGCACAAGAAAGATTTTGTGCTCTGCCACTGTGAAGATTTATCCTTATAATAAGAGCATTCATAGGCAGTAGTTTTAATGTTATATTTTTTAGATGTGAAAGACTGGAGCACTTCACGGTAATACAGGCTAAGTGATGTAGGAAAGGTTATGATGTGCTAATTAGCCAAATTATGTAAAAACAGGACTGTAGATTGCCCGTAACTTGAAACTGCAAAAGTACATCTTAAAAGGATACTTCTTGAACAATTATGTAGTTTTGCTTGGCTTATTCTATTGTGAGAAACTGAGATTGGTTTGTAACTCTGGATTTAAAGCTTAGCATGCTATGTATTGTAGTTTGTGATTGACTCTTTGTGACCAGATTCCTGCAGGATTCTCTGAGATTGTAAAATAAGCAGCCAAAATTTGCTTCAAATGTTGTTATCTGGATGCTTCTTCATTATCCAAATAAACACTTCCCTTTTTACTATATTCTCATTCTGATGTTGTCTTGGTCAGCCATAAATTATATTATTTTGGAATATTACAAACTCTCACAAAAGCTAGCAAATGGCCTTGCTCAAAGGCCAAGGAAATTTACTTCTAGTCACTTATAAAAATAAATGTTCTTGCTTTAGGTTTCTAAGTAGGCTTTATAGAGAAAGGTGACATTATCATCACCCCATGAATAGTTCATGTATAGTGATCGTGGCTTCCAGCCCTTAAATGGGCTCAAAAGGATAGCACTGGAGGCAATACAGGTAATCCTCGACTTACAGTTCACTTAGTGACCATTCAAAGTTACAACCGCACTGAAAAAAGTTACTTATGACCACTTTTCACACTTATGATCATTGCAGCCTTCCCATTTGGCGACTGATTCATATTTATAACGGTTGCAGTGTCCCAGGGTCAGTGATCATCTTTTGACAAGCGAAGTCAAAAGGGGAAGCCACTTAACAATCATGATACTAACTGAACAACTGCATCGATTCACTTAACAGTGGCAAGAGCGTAAAATGGAGCAAAATTCACCTGTCTTGCTTAGCAACAGAAATTTTGGGCTCAATTGTTGTTAGTCAAGGACTCCCTGGAATACTACCTGCATATTCCAGGGAACCTTCAGACAGGGCTTGAATATATTGTGTGTCATTCTGACTCGCAGCTCATATCCCAAAAGATTACAGAGTCCTTTCTCCCACCCACAAGGTACCCTTCCCTGTACAACATAAGAACACCACCACTCATATAAAACTATTTATTCATAAATATTTTCCAAAATGAAAATAGGCTTACGAAAAAATATCTTAACAGCGGCGTGGGCAGGATGCTCCAGTTCAGGGGGCTGGTTGAGAAGAGAGATCAGTCCCACCTCCCCCCCCCAAAGTTTTCCCAAATGTCTCCCTTTCCAATTAGGAATAAATTGCAAGTCTTATTAGGGAGAGGGGGGGTGTCTTCCTGTGGGAGGAGCAGCAGATTAGATACAAGCTCTTAATCAAATTTACGGTGGCAATATTTTGGAAGGTTGGAAAGGAGAAGCAGCGTTGGGGACGGGGGGGGAAGGTAGAATCCCTAAAGTTTATCGTTCCAGTCACGAAAGGGACTCTTCCAAGTAAGGAGGACTAAGGACGTAATGATGGTAGTTGGCCTTTAAGGGGTTCTCCTTGCAACTTGCAAAAAAAGCAAGTCAAAAATTATGGCAGCCAAAAACTGAAAGGGGCCAATCCACCAGAATTTCCACGGTCACCGGGAGCCTTTGTAACCTGAGGTTGATGCTTCCAAATTTGCAAATCCTATTATTATTTTTTTGCCAAGTTGCCATTTCCAACAGTGGCAAGTGGAAGAGGGGGTCGGAGAACGGTCACCACAAAGGTTCATGGGACCCAATATTGTCAAAATCATACTTGGGCATCTAGCCAAACGGGGGAACAGAGTTTGCACCAAAAAAAAAAAAGTCTGGGGAGGGCTGGCAAAAGGGCAAGTGGGGTGCTCGTGTTTGCTGCAATAATTACGGGGCTGAAATGCTCTTATTTAGAACAGACACACAAAAATGGAGAACGGGGGAAGCCACTCTTTTGGTGGGATTCTCAAATTCTTTTTTTTTTTTTCCTTTTAATCTCCATTCTGGCACCCAAACCTGGTGCACAGGAAGGGCGTTTCTACCTGTTTCTGACCTCTTCACAGGCAGAAGAGCAAAGAAAAGGCAGAGGAGAAGCCTGCCACTGCCGCTGCCCCTCCTCCTCCGTCCTGCGGTCGTTTTTTAAACTTGCATGCATTTTTTTTTTTTAAAACGTGCGGCTTGCCCCTCCCACCCCGGTTGTGATCTGGGGAGGAAGATGAAGAGAGGTGAGGGGTAGGTGGGTCTTCTTTTGCCGCTGCCCCCAGCACACTGCCACAGCTGTCTCTGGAAGGAAAACTTGGCACCCCCTGCTGGCCCCAGGGCATCACTGCAGGTCCCGGTCTTCCAGGTAGCGGTATTCAAAGGTGAAACCCTCCTTTTTGCGCTGGCCCCATTTCTCGTAGTCAAAGTAGATGTAAGTGCCCTGAGCAGAAACAGGAAAACAAAACACAATTCGTGACCTCTTGCCTGACTGAACACATTTAAAAAGGAATCTAAAAAAGGAATCCTGGATTCTGTTGCTAAATGATATCTGCCCTCCCAGGTGAAAGCAGGAGTCCCGTGGCTTTAAGTGGGCCTGGTTCCTTCTCATGTAAGAACCTCACAGAATGATATTTGAAGTTTACAACTTTGGGAATTTAGGAGGAAGCAGTTTCTTCACGCCTTCCCTTGTGTGAGGGGAAAAGTAGTACATCAGACATGCGAGGTACGGAAGAATCAAAAGCATCCCGTTTCTGTTTTGGGTGATGGAAAAATGGCACAGTCACTTTTTCGGGTGATGGACGACATCAGCCTCAAAAGGACCTCCATCTTGTCTTCTTTAAGGAATGTGAAGCAAATATGAGTAATTTACCACATTGACAAACATTCATCCATGCCGGTGACTGCAGCAGAGAGAAAAGTGGGGCCACCTCATTCGTAAATGTATACATGGAGTCACGGTGGAACTTCCACAGCCTAGACTTATTATATTACAGGAAAGCAACTTCTAATTCTTATGGAAGAATAGTTAATTAACTAAAAAGGTATCTGCAGAAGGGACCAGGTTTTTCCATACGGGAACCTGATTTCGTTAACTCTTCTTCTGTCTTACTCCAATGCCCTGCCATGTTCTCTCTTCTGCCCATGAAAGTTATAAGGAACATTACAATTTTTAATCCTGATGAAGGCACAACTACTGTTTCAAATACAGAAAAGGTGACCATGGCCTTAAGCAGGGCCTCAGGCTTCGTAAGGGATGTTTGGAATAGTTATGGCCTATCCTTGCTGTGTCAATACCAAGGAAGAATGGAGAATTATTGTTTGAACCTCGGTTTCAGTTTAAAAAAAAAAAAAAGAGTGCCCCTTAATGACCTGTATGGTAGCCAAACCCCTGCACTGCTGCAATGAATACAATGTCATGGCTGATGCTAATCTGAATATAGCTGGGTTTCTTTTCTTTTTAATCTGTTTTTACAGATTGTCTTTGACTTTACAACTGGTTGCTCAGTGACCATTCAAATTTACAACGGACCTCCCCAGGCCTACAATCCAGATTCAAAGTTCTGATGCTAACCCCCCCCCCCCCCCCCAATGACTTGCCTTTTGAGCATTCAGCAACCTCCCACATTTATGGCCGCTTGACGTAGCAAGAAAAAAACACCCATTGTGGACAATGGATTCATCTAATGACTGCAGTGTTCGCTTAACGACCACTGCAAAAAAAATGACTGTAAAGTCAGGTGTAGTCACAGGGTGACCTGTTTAATGACTGGCATGACTTACAACTAATTCTGGGTTCAAGTCAACATTACCTGCAAATATAATTTATAATTTACTGAACAACAAAAAAAACCCAAACCAATTTGACTGCGACTTGACTTCAGAACTGCTCAAAGTCCTTGGAACAAGCCTGTTTCCCCTCACAAAATGCCATGATGTATGAAGCGTTCTGCTCAAAATGGACACATACATGCTCAGTTGCATTCTTCCTACGAGGAATGGACCATTAGTCCTTGCTAATACAGGTAAAATTGCTTCGACGGGCCTGTCTTCCGTTACCTTCACCCTCACCTGCTCAAACTCATCAGTGATGGTCTTAGGTTCTTCGTGCCGCTGAAACCACATCATGTACTTCGTATGGAAGCGCCACGATTGCTTCTTCAGTGCCTTTGCTGCCAGGTATTGTGCCTTCGTACCCTGTGAAGCGAGAGAGGAAAAACAGATCAGAGCTGTGGGGTTTGCAGGTCGAAGAAAGAGATGCCGATCATCCCATGCGCCAAGTAGTCCTCAGGAATGACCCAGCGAGGAGAGCCAGCACGATTCTTCCCCGACTACCAAAGGGGATGGAGGGAGGGGCTGTTCGTTACCTCCAGGTAGTAGAAGATGAAGAAAAGAGTCTCTGTGGAGAGGCGCTGGTAGAATTCCACCGTGTCGGAGTGTGGAGGAGGCATCTGGTGGTGGTATGGAGGAGTCGGACAGGGATTGCGAGGCAGGTATTGCCTGTGGGATGGGGACGAGAAGGGAGAACAAGAGCAAAAAAGACAGAAATAAGACGAGGAGAAAATCGGGAAATTCACAAGATTTCTGTGAGTTCTCCCCTACATAAAGATACAGATTCCCAAGTGTGAGGAATAACAATATTCGGCCTCAATCCTTCCTCAACTGATGGCCATCTGAAGTCTGGATCCTGAGGTGGTCAGGCTCCATTCCCTCCCTCTTTCTGCAATGTCCTGAATTCTCATCTACAACATTAGGAGCGAGTCCCAAGGGTGCTTTTTTTCAAGAGGCAACTGGATTTTCTGGTTTTTCTTTGAAGACGTTTCGCTTCTCATCCAGGAAGCTTCTTCAGCTCTTGAGAAGCGAAACATCTTCAAAGGAAAACCAGAAAGCCCAGCTGCCTCTTGAAAAAGCATCTTTGGGACCTCCATAGACATTAGGAGCGAAACTTCCCCAAACAGGCCAGTCCAACCATGTTTTAGGAAGTGACCCAAGGAACGAAGAGGAACAATTTGTGTTCATGATGAGAAGTGTGGCAAGTTGAAGTAGTTCTCAAACTCTGGGTCATGACACTTAAGTGAGGGGTGGGGAGGAGGCAACACACATTTTTGTGGGACTGGAACAAGCAAAGCCAAGATTGCTGCCAGAATTTTATCCTTTTGGTGCCCTGACAAGCATTTGAGCAGAATCAGACAGTGGTCAGACAGAATCTAACTACATTCAATCTATTTATTTACCCCAATGTCCAACTGACAGCACACTTTTCCTTCACGAATGAAGGCGAATATACGTGTCCCAGGATAATGTTGCAGGATCCAATCTGGGTCAGTCAGCGGGACCAGAGGTTTAGTCTTCAGGACTAGAGGTTTAGTCTTCCGAGCTTTCAGACTTGTGC